TAAAATTGGCAGGATTGAACAATTGAATAACATCATTTCTAAAAATGCAGCCACACAGTTGCATAGTTTAGGAAGTCACTGAGGGTTCTCCTCAGGATTTGTGCATCTCCTACCTTTTTCTTTTCTTTGGACGCCTGAAATAATTGTTCCTATTTGAGTCACTCCCTTCCATGTTCTACCGTGAAAACCTAAATTTTGGAATCTTGAAGACCAATACCTTTGATTATTATCGAGAGTTTTCTCAAGTGACCCCAATCATTTGAGATGTAATTAACTATAAGGGTTGCATTTATAGGGAACTTGAAACCAAGGTAAAATAAACTCTATTTAATCCTTGTATTAGATAGGGGAACTTATCGGTCATACATAAAAGGTTCGCAGACCAAACGGATGTCATAAAGCTCTTAGTTTGTAGAATTGAGTCTATCGCCGAGGTATATACTTATCTTTCGGAAGTGTATAGTATTCGAGGTATCAGGCACGATTATACAAACTATTTGACTAATGAGATTCATTTGATCTCATTTTTTAAAATTAAAACATATTACTCTCAAAACCCAAACTATATACTTATTATATTAAATTAAATTTAAAATTATTTTTCATTTATTTTCATATTTTCAAATAATCAAAAAGTTGACCGACAATGGTTTGGTCACATTAAACGTCAACCATCTGACGATCCGATTAGGAGAGTAGATGTTTTAGATTCGACTTATGTTAAGAAAGGCAGAGGTAGACCTAGAAAGACTTGGGCTTATTGTATTAAAAATGATCTTAATTTACTAGAACTAAATGAAAATATGACACTAAATAGGACGCAATGGAGAAAAAGGATTCATGTAGCTGACCTCACGTAGCTTTGTTGTTGTTGTTGTTGTAAATGCAATGTAAAGTAAATAAAATGTATTTGAAAATTGAAATTTCATTTTCTTGCGTTTGCTTGAAACTAATAAAAATGAAGATTAAAAATTTAGATAAGAAAATAACATTGGGCATGCAAGCACATGAAGGCAAGCATCGAAGGTGTCATCACAATGGGAAGTGGAGTCACAGGTAATGAAAGAGTCACGATTCAGCAAATGGTCGTAGGCGGTTTGCAAAAGGATTTACGAGAGTGGTCAAGATGGTTAGCGATCGCAGCATCGTGTGCAAGAGCGAACGATGAGAAGGCATCGTAAGCAAGTAGATGTCAAACAGGCATTAGTGAGAAGTACCATGTTGGAGCTCACATAGGAGTGTGGGACAGTGGGCTTGATGTACAATGTTATCCCCGTGCGAGGAAGATGTATCGCGATGCAGCATTTGTAATTTACCCAATTTGAGTGAATTCCAAATTCTAAATTACTTCACTTCAAACTAAACACCCAAAAAGTTAAAATACATACATTCCAAATGAAGTACAATCAAAACATTTCAAAATAAGCTGGCATAGACATTTTTAGAGTAAGATCTTAAGAGTTGGTTCTTTCTAATAGCCCTCTAACATAGAAATTAACCCACAAGTTTTCACAAATAAGCCACATATTAACATGAATTTCCAACTACTTTTAAGAACAGAATTAAGAATTACGAATTCATGAGTGATGGTAGAAAGCAATTCAACAAGCCAATTCCATATTTTGGTAGAGGACAAGACACTACTGACGTGGCACCAAAAATTCTTGGCCAAGCCAATTTAGAAACCATAAAAGCTTCTTTTTCTTACACTTTAAAAGGGAATGTCATCATCCAAAGGATGTGTATTTTGAACAGCCATGTGATTATCCTTTTGATTTTATTTGTTGATGTAATCAGGAAAATATTAATTTGTGATATTCATATTACTTCCAATGTATTTATTTAAATTATTTAACATTTTAAATTGTGTAGGGCTTTACATGAATACTATGAACGACGTTTACTGAGCCAATCCTCTCTCTTTCTCTCTCTCAAATTTCCATAATCCTCTTCCTTTTCTTCTACAACCAATTACAATTAGATTTACACTCCAAGCTGCATTAAAGCTTTAGAAAAGAGTATAACCTGGAGCACTCCTAATGAAAGGTTAGAGAGGGTTCATGTAAGTAACCTTACCACTGCATTTTTGTAATGGAGCCCCCCCTAATGTAAGGTTAGAGAGGTTAATGTAAGCAATCTTACCACTGCATTTTGTTGAGAAGCTGTTCCCACGACTATAGTTTGGACCCTCTAGACTACACAGCATGCAGCTTAAACCCTCTAGATTACAAAAGGACTGGTGTGTCTGGACCTTGCTAATTAAAAAAAAAGTCCTTTGAAAATCTATTTTTGAATACCAATTACATCTAAACTTAACCACCTAAAACCATCTGAACTCTTTATAAGGGCTAAAGTTAGTTAAATTCTTTTTTTAAAGCCCATCGGCATCATTTAATACGTGCTTCAATGCCTTTATCAAGGAAAAATCATAAACAACCATCAATCACAGCAACAGGCTTCTCATCGTGGTTTTCATATAACAATGGAAAAGGGTCAATGAATAATGATTGAAGTCTTCTTTAATAATCAATAACCAAAAACTACTATTCTGGGCAGTTTCAGATTTATTACTGAATCTATATACTTACGTAAATCAATTAACTTGCATCTAAAACAATATTTAAGACCACTAGAAGTAGAGTGGATCAGGTTTAGCGTAGCAAATCCATAGTAAGATTTTGTAAACCAATTCAGTACATGTCCATGCTCAGCTCAAACCAAAAGGCCGTAATTAACCCAATCAATGCACTAGTTTTTCATGCCAAAAAAACAGTCGGATCCGAAGCAAATAAAACTGACAATATTTCCTATAAAAGCACAAATAATTTTGATAGTTCATATCTAACAGTCTGGACTTAGGATAGGTTTGTTTGTCCTTCAAAACTGCTTTGCTTCGCGAAAGGCAAAAACATGTTTTTTATAATGTTATTGGGTTTGGGTGTCTGCTTCGATTTTATGAAAAGTAAAGACCTCAAAACTACTTTCAAAAGTAATTACCATATGGCACAAAAAGCTTCAACTGGTAAAAGCTTTCTGCAATAATTTATTAAGTAGAAACACAAACAATTAGAGCCTTCATAAATTAGAAAATGGTTAAAAAACAACTTAATCCTTTTCAATACAATTACTAAACAAAAAAATTATGTTCCTTAATCATGAAAAGTTCTCGAATTAAAATTAAGGGTCTGTTTGGGGCAGCTGCAGTTTATCCCGCTTCTGCTGATAAGCAGCTTATTCTGATAATCTGATAATCTGCATATTATCAAAATAATATGTCTTGCTGTTTGGGACAGTTTATTCAGAATAGTTTAATGGTAGTTAAATGACAATAAATGATCTTCACTGCATGTCTGATAAAACTGTCCCAAATATCAAACTGAAAACATGAAGCAACTAGACCAAAAAAGTGCCAACAAAATCCTAAACTACTTGATTCCAGATTTTCCATAAACAAAGTCAATGAAATTTCTGATTTTTACAATCTATAGCTTCCAAATAATGCATAGCATGTAACCAAAACCTTTTTGAACCAAACCGTCCTTTTTGAACCAAACCCAAAACCTTTTTGAACCAAACTGTCAAGCTATAAAGCTTCAAATATCATAAAGCATTTAAAACACATTCCACCAGCATGTCATTCTCGCCCAAAGGTGCCACCGTGGAGCAACCTTGGACGAGCAAAACAGAAGACGAAAAGGGCACAGAGGAGGGGGAAGAAGACAGACCTCAATCAAATCTCTCTTCAACAGCAAAAGAAGGCCAAGGAAAGCTCAAACACCAAACCCAAGGATTTCAAGGATAAATTTTAGCAGGACCTCCTCTCCCAAAATTTTCGACATATTCAGTTCTAAAAAAGCCCAAATCTCCAAATGCAAGAGCTAAAAATCCCAAAAAAACCAAAACGTACGGGATCCATTTCGAATTTCTATTTCTAGATCATAACAAGAAACCTAAAACAAGAAACCTAAAAGCTTTAAAAGCTTCGAAGTTGTCTTCTAGCCCTCAAAAAAATCAAAGGAACATATAGATCGGTAAAGGAGAGCAAAGGATTGTGGCGATCTCACCAGAAGTTTACGCACGAGATCGGTGAAGGAGATCACGAGGGAGAGCACGAGAGAGAAACTAGGGGCACGAGAGGAAAATATCGCACGATAAGCCCTAGCCAACGCCGAACGGAACCACGCCCCCCTCGTCCGATGGATAGAACAAATATCGGCCCGCGGTTATCTAGAAAACGCCGCCATAGCAAAGTAATCTGCCCCAAACGGGGCTAAGTTGATTTATGACCTTAAACCACGTTTGAATGTGTTTGAACCAAATTAAAATACTTGACCTGAATGCATGAAGAAATCAATTTGGTTGACCAAGACTGACATATTTGGACTCGAATGAATCAAAGGAAGAAGTTTCATCAAATCATTTAAATTTGTTCAAGGCAAAAACAAACAAAACTGTTTGGTCAAATAAACACAATTAAACCCTAACCAAAACTAATTCAAAATAAGTGGGGTGGATTGCCCAAATAGGTTTTAATAAAAGTGAAGCAAACATCATAACACAAACTAATAAAAATCCAATTAAAATAATTTTCTTTGGTTTTGATCTAGCCCAAATCAAGCTAATTAAACTGAATTGGACTTTTGCACTCCTACATGAACCACTGCTTTTCTATTATCTCATTTTCTTTTACTATGGGATATCATGCCCACTTCTCAATCCAAGATAAGTTCATGCAAATGCTTGGGGCTACGAAACCACTGCCTTAGCAATATTAGTATTTGCTAAAAAGAGAAAACGCTCCAACCCTCTAGGGGACAAGTTAGCTTTCTCCAAATAACTATGACAAGGCACGAGTCTCCTGATGACTAATACCCAAATCCATCCACATGGATCTCACTACCACAAAGCCACATGAATATGCTAAGATTTCAATAATTCCATATTAATTATAAGGTCTTTTATAAAAAACAGTCAAGAAGTAATATAGGAATGATGCATACTCTTTCAAAAGTACCCGGTGAAATGTTGCATTCACTCCAGGCCCCAGACCAACAGGATAAGCATAATGACGTTGTTTACCTTGTATATAAACCTGAAGCAAAAAAAAGGTGAATAAATTGACTTAATAAGTGAAAAGAAGATCTGAAAAAAAAAGGCAGTTAGAGGTCAATTACCATGTTTTGATCATCATACACATGTAAACAGATACAGTCATCCCTCCCATGACAACGGTCTCCTTTTTCTCTGCACAAAGACCCAAACTTTAAACTAAAAAAATGCATATTCTCTACATTTCCACGTATCGATATGAGATTGGTAGTAAACAAACTTTCATGCCGTGAACCAGCATGCTTCAAAGGGCTCAATATGTTAGATTTCATAATCTGAACAAATGATGTCACTGTAAACACTTCTTGCAGCATGGAGAAGTGGTTGAATAATTCTTCTTTGAAGAAATCTATTTGGCTAAAAACCCCCAATGACTCCCAAGGGATTACCAAATGGACATCCGAGATATCATCCAGTTCAGTGTGCAACTGCTGGAAAACCAGATCGTTCTGAACATTTTCCGAACATGTCTGGTGATCTCTAATTAAATATTCTCTGGAAGTCTGACAACTTGGTTGTTCCTGATGCTGAGCCGTTTCAAAAGAAAAACAAACTTTCCAGAGAGTAGTTCTAGAACTCAGTAAAACTTTGGCACAAGTTTGTTTTTTCTCGTCTTTTTTAAAACAGAAAGGACAATCTTTGGAACACTTCATAATGTAATACCCACCAGCTCGCAGTGACTGAGATTTGAAAACAAGTTTATAATCTTTTATAGCAGAGAAGGCTATTTCAAAGATCTAGAAAATACAAAACATTTACAAAAAATTAAATTCATTCTGATAGGGTAAAGAAACTAATGCACCTGATACTTGATGAAGCTATCAGATAAGAATTCTAACAGAACTGGGTGGAGACCACCAGACATATTTTCCAGCACAGAGCATCTTTTATGGAAAAAATATCCCGTAAAATGGCGCCTTTTACAATTGCTTCTAGAAAAAGTAAGCAGAAAAGGACAAACAGGCCTTGCTTCAGCTGTTTTGAGATCACACTTTGACTTAAGTGAATCCCAGCCAGATGGGTGACTGTGTTCAACTTCATCTAAGAAAATAGCATCAAAAGGCAAAAACAAAGCCTCGGCAAATAAGCTAGAGCTGTGTGATGCATCTGTGTCAACCTCATTCTGTAACCGAAACTTAAACAGAAATAAGAAATACAACCAACCAAAGTGAAATAAGAAAAAAATAGGTCATATAGAGCAAAATCAACATACAGTCTCTGCAGCAGGAAATTTGTGGGTCACAAGAAGGAGGTGTACAATTCCACTAGCAATAGCATTATCGACCATGCATAAAGGAAGATTGATAGGTGCATTAAGACAAGTTGAATCCTCAAGATAAAAAAGAACATAAATAACTAGTTGATTTATTTTTTTCATCACAGGTAGCTCCTTAAAAAAACCACTGCATGAAAGTTCTTCAGCGGAATGCAGCTCGGCAGATTCTACTTGCATGGAAGGGCCTTCAAGGATAACTTTAAACTCTTTAACCTGAAAAACACACTTTATTCATTACGATAATCAAGTGGACTGACTTATCATAATCAAGTAGATTGGTGGAATCAGGAATGTACTAGATAAATCTTCATATATGGTTAGTATGTTGGAATATGAGCTACAAATTCCGTATGCTATCATATAAGTTTGCAAAGCTATGTGATTCGTGTATGGAAGAATAACTCGAACGACAATCATGGAAGAAATTAAACCAACGGGCATTTACTACTGATTAAACTCTAAACACTAAACAACAATTATACACACCTTTCCGGCGTGGTTAGCAAGCAGAAATTCCTTGCATATGCCCACTACACGAGGGATACATTGAAAGGTTGTCCAAATTTAAAATTAACAAACTCAATAAAAACAAAAAAAAAAAGGATTTTGGACATAAATGCAACATAAAATTACAAATGAACATAATATGAAACTACAAAATCAATAAAAAAAGGATAAATCTGCAAAATGAAAAGCAATTAAATGCATAACTAAATTAAAATAGGACATCCAAAGAGTTTGCAATAAATCTGATACCTCGTCTATTAGCAAGCATTCAAATCTCCTAGATTTGTGAAATCATTAAATCCACATAAACAACATTGTTTTGAACTCTAACCAGCAATCATTTGCCATTGAATCAACATGTATATGCAGGCAAACTTAATGTAATCATTAAAATTCAAAAATAAAACTTTCAATGTTCATGCAAAAATTTCAAATCTAAATACTTTTAAACCTTTATAAATATCACAACAAAATCTTACATTTTGTTGGCCAAAATCACTTGAACCAGAAAGTTGCAATCGTCCAATTGCATTCATCTAACTGCCATTCATTCAACTATCATTTGCCCAGCTGCATTCGTCCAGCTACATTGTCCATTTGTATTCATCGATCTACAATTCGTCCAGTTGCATTCATCTAGAAAAACAGTTTTACCAAAGGTATTCTCCCAGAACAAATTTCCCAGAGCAGCTCTTTCAGAGAACTCATTCATGACCAAACAAACCGACTAGACAATGGAGATGACAACCAGGAGTACAGAACAGGATGTTCAGGGTGGCGGAAGATGGTGTAGACAGAAGAAAAGACACCATAGATAATATATGTATGTGTCGAGGCGGTAAAAGATAAATTCAAGCATCCAGAGATCCAAATGAAATTATTTATAATCATAGCTTATACATATTTTAGAGTAAACGCCCACATATAAAAGGGAGAGTTAATGTAAGAATGATGATTTTTCATCCCATCGGACAACTATTAGAGGAATCAATACAATACTTCTGTACTCTCTCTCTCTCTCTCTCTCTCTCTACAGCCCTACACTCTCTCATTTACTGGTTATACCCTTGAGATGTGAGTCCATGGAAAAAATGAATTCGCATCATGAAAAAGTGCGTTGAGCATGGATTATGTCACAGACAAAAAGATTTGTCACATAAGGAGCAAAATTGAGTCATATAAGAGTAACTAGCAACAAGGGCTGCACTAGAGAAAAATGAGCAGTTGAAATCATATATTCATCAATTCATCAACTTGTCCATTAGTCCATTTATCCATTTGTCCATTCATTCACATTCAGGAAAACAGCTCTATCAATAGTGTTTCTCCCAGAATAACTCTTCTAAGAAAACTCTCCAAGTGCAACTCTCCCAACACAGATGTCCTAGCAGGAACAACTCTCTCAAGAGAGTTCTCCAAAAAAATCTTCAAGAAAATAAATTGCCCACGGGAAGAAGAGTTATGTAAAGATTGGAGCTAAAGCAACAGAAAAACCTCTAACAACAAAACTAACAAAGAGAAAATCTTCATAACCTTTTTTCTTTTTATTTTATTTCATCGTGTTTATGTTTTTTTATTAACTTCGTCAATATGTATATAATGAGCAGCACATACATTACTCATATAAAATAAGTTTGTCAATAGCACTCCGAAAACTTGTCCCTCATAAACAAGTTCCCTAAAAGTAAAGGGAAAAATATCTCAGCTTTTAGACCCTACTCGGCTCAACCCGAATACTGAAACGACTCTAAAGAAATTCTTTCCAAAATTTAACTTGGTCAAATAAAGAATGCAGTTAATTAACCTAAAGATAGAAGAAAATGATACCTCGGCCTAAGTAAAGTTGAAGAATTATAATGACTGCCCATTGTAGGAGAGCTATGACTCACAGGCAAAAAAATAGTTCGAATTTAAGAAACTGACATGAATTTCTTTATAATTGAGCTATATTGCAAGGAAATGATAGTTACACAAAAAGACAACTCATTATAGAAAAACTAAATTCATTGTTAACCCTCAAGAAACTCGCCCTATAAGACTACTAAGTCAATCGTAATAAAAAAAACATTAGCAATCTATAATACTATTCCCGGAATGTGAGCCAAATATCCCCAAGATGAAATCATGTAGGTGTAGCCAAATTGTCTCCAGAATGATTCCTTATAGCAGAGCTAAGACCCTTCAGGTAGAGTAACAGTTAGCACATAAAGAAATACACCACTCAATCTTTACTTGAACAGTCTTGACTCATATTTGAAAAAAATAGCACACCTAATGAATTTATTTTTTAGACCATAAAAATATACAATTGTCTTATAGAGACGAGCAATGCATAATTTTATGCCTATTATTTTATTATTCTTTTCGCAATTGCATTTCAAAGATATAAGTGAATCGGAAAACTAAATATATAGTCAAAATCTCCTGAACCAGGAAGTTGAATTCGCCCTCTGCCATTCGTCTGTCAAACGGTCATTCATCCAACTACAATTCATCCAACTGCATTCGTCCAGTTGTCATTAGTCCAGTTGTCATCCGCCCAGTGGCAATCCATCCAACTATCATTTGTCCAGTTACAGTAGCCTAGTTAAATTCGTCTACAGTTGCATTTGTCAAAAAACACAGCTCTCTCCCAAGTGTGTTCTCCTATACTATCCCTTCAGAAGAACTTATTCATGGCCAAATAGACTACTAGATAATAGATTATATAATATATGTGCCCGAGGCAATGAAAAGACAAATTCAAGCATCCAGAGATCCCAATGGATCTATTTGTAATCACAGCTTATACATATTTTATAGAGCAAATAACAAATACCCCTATATAAGAGTGTAAGTTAATGTAATGAGGGCTACCCCACTCTCAAAAATTGGATAGTCCTCAGAAGAATCAATAGAATATTTCTCTACTCTCTCTCCCCCTCTCTCTTCTCTACAGCTCACAGTATTTTTCTCTCCTTTGTTGGTCCTACGCTTGAGGTGTGATTCCACATACGAAATGGGATTCAACAACTCAAAAAACATGCAAATGCACCGCACAAGTGCCTTAAAATTAGTGCTTTCTGCCAAAAAAAAAAAAATTAACATCAAACAAGAAATTTTTCTCATATGCTCAAGAAAGCATGCTATATTACAGAATACTATGTGAATTGAAAATTAAAGTGAATTTAAGAGAATGTTTGGTTTGTTGAAAAGAAATACAATGTAAGAAAAAATTCAATGTAAAAAAAAAGTATATTATACTATGAATATTTTGGAGTTATTTGGTTCAGCAAAAAAAAATGCCGAACTTTACATTTTAATGTTTGGTTTTAAAGAAAATAAATGTGTAAAATAAAGGCAGCGGCGGCAAGCAAAGATGGCTAGCGGCAGACAAAAATGGCAGCAATGGCGACAGGAAGGCAACTCTAGTAAGTGACAAAAAAAGGGCACGGGGCAGCAAATAGCAAGTGGTCAACGGGGACAGGAGGCGAGCAAATGAAATGGGTGGCGGCCTCACTTTGGAGTGTACTTCAAATTTGCCTAAATACAATTAATTTATAACACAGTAGAAATGAACTAGACACTGCATATGAAATGCATTTCTATTTTATATTGCATTCCTTTTTTCTCAAACCAAACACTCAAATATTCAAAACCCCTGCATTCGGAATGCAATACCATTTTACTTCAAAACAGATATCCCCGAAATAAAGCCCACCAAGAGAAACATGCAACTATTCAAAAGTGTATAACTTGAAAATTTTGTAAACCCTCTCCTTTAATTACATCAACATGCATGTTAATTCTCGAACAAACCACCCTACCGACATAGTAGTGGGATTATAACTCCCATGTTATAAGTCTCCTCCACATTCAAATTATTGGGGTCAACAAGATTTGAGTCCTATGATAAATTTCTATGCAATAAATTTAAAGTACAACAAAAAATTACTTCAAATGCATACACTCAACTAATTTAACATGTTTTGCAGTATCATGTACTAGAATCAGATGCCCCTTAGTGAATCTCATAAAAGTTATTTGTCTTTCATGTACATATGGTCTTCAAAGCCATTAACTAAATTTCATTTTCAAAATACAAACTCTCAATACCATGCTTATAAAATAAGACAACTAGTTCCAATCTATTAAATTAGATCCACCACATACAGGGTAGAGACAATAAGGTCAGTAACACAATGAATATTTAAATGAACAAAATTCAAGAACTCAAATCATTTATAAGCAAAGAAATAGAGTCAACATAAGTTCCAAATAACAAGATAAAATACTCAAATACCCTTATGATGGCCACATTGCAAAAAATTTCAACAGGAGAGGATACTATGATCAAAATTCCTGAAACTCCGATGTGAATTATTTAAGAACAAAATGCCAATACAACATAAAAATTAAAAAAATTGTAAAGTTTATCGCTCCTAAAATTAAAAGCAATAATGCATCCATCTATCAAGGGTGACAAATTTAAGTTTAACTTAAACTCGTAATGGTTAATGTCATATCAAGAGTACCTCTGCAATCACTCTCAAAACTCTCATGTCAATAAGAATGTGACACGTGGCATTTGAATATGTGATTTGGCCACAAAATTGCACTATTAAAAACAAGCTTATGATAAAGGATATCTGATCAAATAATTCACCATAAAATGATGATTAAATTATGATCACAACTAGGGCCTACAAATTCTCCACTAGCCCAAATCCAATGAATGATGAAAAATAAATTGCCCTTAATAAAACACAAAACCATATGTTAACTAAAATTCACTAAAAATTTTCCTCTTAGACAAACATCCAAAGCCTCCTTTGACCAGAAACTAAAGTAAATGATAAACCAAAATGCTTAAATCAAAGGATATTAATCAAGTTCATCATCATTCCCCTATTTTAAGCTAATAAAAACAAATTTCTTCAACATAACCCAAAGTTGATGTTGATATACATGGAGCACTTGACAGCTAACAACTAATCTTAATCGAAACCCTCTCATCACCAAAAGGAATAATTATCCATAGAGGATTGCGTCTGTAAGAACCTATAACAAAATCTTAACATCCTCACAATAAATACTACCTTTGTCTAAAATATAATCAATCAGATAAAAATTTGACCAATAAATCATGAAATTAGATGCCCACAAACAAAACAATTGTTATTAAATTATAGATTGCATTAATCCATCAACACTTACGAAGCCTCATCCAAACAAAACAGGGAATCAAGTGTGAACTACTTATAACACTGAAATCCAAATGTTGATGAAAAAGGTTGTTAGGAAAAACTTTTAAAAAAATCAACTTAAAACCTCGGAAGTATATATCATGCAAATGAGCAAAAACAATAGTGGAATATTGGAAAACCTTACTTAAAAAAATGAATAATTATAATTTGAAAAATAAACATAAACTTGGATGCATTAGCAAGGATGAAGTGAAAATAAATCAATGCTAATAGATGAGCAAGCAGTTTGATGAATCATGAAGCCAGTAAGCAGTTCTTCACCTCATGAATGCCCTGACAATAGAAACTGGAAACAATATCTGGTATCATAACATCCACAGTTCCAGTGGCATCAACAAGCTGCAGCTTCCCTGAAGAGGTGCTCTGAACATTAAAAAAAATTGAAACTGTGAAATATTTAGATTACCGCAATGCTGGCTCTTCAGAGTAAAGATCAGCATAATTAAAGTAAAATAACAAAACGTTTTCCGCCACACTGCTCAACAGAAACCAACACCAAGAGAAAAACATTTCCATATTCTCAATGACCCACACCCAAAACCAATAAGCAATGACGACCAATAACAAAGCAAAGAAATCAATCCATGAAACAATTAAATCATTTCTACTCTAGGTTTAAAATCTATTTGCAAAATCCAAGATTAAAAAAAAAACAAAGGTTTATTCCTACATGATGCTTCCTAGCTAAACACGTGAGCTTCTCAGAGTCCAAAACATATAAAATGTCAAATGCATTCATGCACCTTAACCAACAAACTGTACACCAATTTCATAGAATCTGACCTAATTCTATATTTCCAGAATACATCTAAGATATGTTTCAAATTTCTTAAAATGTCAATACACTTTTACACCTTAACAATTATCAACTTAGCTTCAATTATCGACTGATTAAGCAATCCATCAAAAATAATTAATACTCTATTAATACAAATGATCAAGTGTTAATTATGATAAAAAAATAAGATTTGCATTATTGGTCATTGTAAAGGAAATCAAACAATTCACCATGTCCATTCTCAATAGTCAAACCAACAAAAAAGTAAAAAACATATTATAGGCTAACCTTGATACTGCCCATCAAAATGCAGCCAAGAATATCACTAGATATAATTCTTCTAATTATAGGAGATGAAGGTCGTACTTTGCAGGGCACATTGTCACTTATTCCAAGTTTTCCATCATGACACTGAATTTCCTTTACTATTGATGCCCACATTATTTCACACTTGCTGATAAAATTAGACATCGGTACTACCTGGCACAAAAATTTACTTTAAATGAGCAGCTTCCCGCAGCCATGAAACACTAAAACAGCCAGACAGACAACAAATTGATTAATAACAGACTTCACCATCTTAAGGGGTGGTACGTTCTTTGCATACTTGGCAGTAGACTGCTCATGTTGACAAAATTCCATAAAAATCCCATGCTGACACAAAAAAAAGTAACATTATTACAAAATATACCCGTTAAAGTTTCAGAAAAAAATTCAGAAAATGGAATCAATCATATTAAAGTTAGAAACAAAACATACATAACTTATTACATAGAAAACAGTTCCCAAAAAACAAATCATCCCATCAGGTTTAACACAAAATATACACATACACAATCCACTCATTCTACATCTCGTAGGTTAGATGTCACTTAAGAAATCAACTTTTTGAATGAAAGTAGAAAAAAAAAGGAAGATTTACTTGCAAACCACTCAATTCCTATATATTTACATATCTAACACATAAATTTCAATTTTTACATATATGCCAGTTTACCAATGCATGAAAGGTGTATTTCACTTTTTAAAAGTTAAAATAGTGATATTTCTAATGTGATATAAAAAAGTAAAAAAGTAAATTTTAGGTGTTAGATATGTAAATACATAGGAATTTGGGGGTATGCATGCAAACACCCTCCCAAAAAATAAAAGTGAGCACAATTACATACACAACACCCAAAACATTGCTATCTACAAATCTAGCACCCTCTTTCATCCATTTTTCAAATACTCACTCAACTCACTCAAATATTCAAATACTCACTCAAATATCAAAATTCATGATAAAACCCAACCCATATTTTTCATTTTTATCAAAATTCGCAATGGATTGATCATTGGACGTGTAAATACATCAGTTTTATAGTTCAAAAATATCACTTGGATGCTATATTTTGTAAATAGCAACATTTCAGATGTTATTATGTATGTTGTTATCCCAAAAAAAAAAAATACCGCATAGTTTTCAGGTTACTCACTTGAGGTTGAAGGAAATGTGAATGCAAAGATGCATGTGCATAAACCTGAACCATTCCTTCCTTCTGAAGGCAACTAAAAAATGCAGATAGTCAGCCAAGCTGAAATTGGAGTATTATAGCAAATCAAGTTTGATTTTTTTTTTAACACAAAAAACATCCAAATAAAAACAGCAAGGCTTTATAACTACAAAATTCTTGGTGACAACAGTGCAAAAGGCAAATTACATTTCTCGAGCCAACAATTTCTTTGTTAGTTAATAGCCTACCAAATTTTCTCCTGAAACAAGAGATCAAGAGTAGCAGCCTGCCATTCAACAATAAATGTGTGAATCATAAGATATCAATATGCATAATAACAGCAAAAGCAATAAAAATGATAAATGAAAAACAGATCTACCAAAATCTAGCTGTCGGTATAAGAGATTCCATAAACTTCCCCAGTAAGCTCTGACTCTGAGACCTAAAGTGACACCTGTCTCAAGCACACACCCCACACGCAAACGTCCACATTTACATGCGTAGCTGATCAGAACTTTAGATATATAAAAAGTAGTTTTTACCTAGTATCAGAAAGTGAAAAAGCCTTAACATCTATGGTAGTTCTGCAACAACTAACAAGCAGACTGATTTCAATCCAGGAAAATACAGGACGAAGCAATTGAAAGTTTCTGATAGAAATCTGCAAATACCCAAAAAAATACGATAGTTATAGCATTCATAGAATCATAGAGAGCAAGTGCAATTTAAATTAATATAAAGAAAATCAAGTGGCATGCTCATCTTATCAAAAACATTCCAAAATTGTAAATAATACAGTAGTTTCAACCAATCAAACTTACAATAGCACCAACCCTTAGAGCAGCTAGTGGTGCGATGTTGGGATCAGTGACCAAAAGCCAAACCTTCTCATCTAATTCAACCGCCATCCCTTGCATGTAAACTCCAGTAACAACTCCATCATAGACTGTCACATCCCCAGTCATTCTCGTTCTAACATCCTCTCCATGATACATAGCCTCCAAAGGTAATAGACCTAAAGAAACTGACGCGTCCAAAGGTGTGACGTATATGGCATACGATGTCTTCTCTCCAACAAATATTATCTTCTTCTTCAATCCTGAGACCATAATAACCTTCCCAACAAGTTTAACAAGAGCAACACGCCACCCAGAAGGCTTCAGAAAGTAAACAAACTCGGAAGCAGCAAAGCAATGGCTACTCTGCTTCCAAGAAGAATAATCAAAACGATCCATAGAAAATGAATTGAAGCAAAAACTGCACTTGCATGTGAATATCTCTGCAAGGAAACCAATAGAATCCAAACCAGACCCAGTGTTCCGACAAGGAACGGTGAACACCGGGCTAACTGATTTCAGAACACCCGCAATGCCTTTTCTACTCGACAACTCGGCCCCTTTCCGGAGATAAGTAGCAGACAAGCCATTGGGCATCGGGAGCGCTGAATAAGTGCTCCATCGGATTATTTCCAGGAGCCCCCCACTCCGGTTCTTGAAAGGAAGGAAATTCCAAGCGTGAACGTGTACTTTGCATCCGATGATCCTAAGTTCGAAATCAAGAATGGCACAGGATATGCTAGAGAAGCCGTCGCAGAATGAAAAGTACTGGTCAGAAGGATCAATGGGGAGATCCACGGTGCCGTGGAGGCTGACAGGGCATTTGAATGGAGTGAATGAAAGCTCTCGGTTTGAATAACGCTTGTTGCCGATCAGGAGACTAGTGAGATTCTCGGTCTCGGTAACATGGGGAGGTTGGGGCTTGTGTTTCTTCAAGGGAGGAGAGCAGGAGGAGGGGGAAAGTGAAGTGGCGCCGGTGAGGGGTAAAGAGAGGGAGAGGAGATCGGCTATGGTGATGATTTGCACTTCTGCCATGGAGACAGGCATCAAATGGAGACGAACGTTGCTCTTAGATTAGGGTTTGACAGTGTAATTCGAGCGCGCGAAGGCCGTGAAAGTATTTCGGCTAGATTTACGGTTTTGTTTGGTTAAATTGAATCGTGTAAACATACAGGAGTAGTAATCCCTAGGATATCTAACTCTTCAAAAAAAAAAAAAAAAAAACACCAAAGGGCCCGTCGATAGAATACCATGAGGTTACTTATTAGATTGAGTGAATATGTTCGAGTCAAAACGAGCAAGGCCAAAGCTGATCAAACCACGAGAGAATCAAAAGACAACCAAAAGATCCGAGCCCGAACCATTTGGTCTGACATGAGACAAATAGACATTTGAACCAACAACTACGACAATGCTAATTCGAGGGAATATACAGTCTCTCAGCATCTTTGATCATCTTACGAATGTTGAGAGGCCTCTAACTAGTCATAAAGGATCAACAACTAGACTATCAATTCATGTCGGTCAGGATCAACAGACCAAGTCGATCCCACCTACTAAGCTCAACCCACCGAGCTGATTTTGTCGACCCAAAGCCAATTAAGCATAGCAGGTGGAGCCAAAGAGTAGTTCAATGACAAGCTCATACATGTAAAATACCATAAATATCATTGTATGGACTTCATTAAAGCGGGGCAAAAAATGCAACATCGTCATGTTATACTCTCTATCCTATAAATAGAGATATTATTTCATGAATAAGATATAATATATTATTATTCATTCATCTCTCTGACTGTCTCTCTTCTTACGTTTTTTTTTCTTTAGTGTGATTCATGACAAATTAGGATTCAACATCCTAAAAGACTTTGTGAGTGTGAATAGTGTCATAAACAAGAAGAGAGGCATCCCAAGGAGAAAAACCCCAAAATCAGAGACACTGATAATATTGAGTGTATCTGAGAGTTCGTTGCTCAACAAATTCAAGAATCGGAGAATCAAATATTTGATGTCAACCGAGACGCGTGACCCTAGGAGGGGAATAACATCTCTGAGAAAATGGGAGTGCCCAATAGTAGAAGATACCCCTGACTTTGGAAAGAGAAGATGATTCTCGATACTTCAATTGTGTTGGTCGGCATTGATTGTTAGTCATCGATTTGGGCGTATTAAGGAACAACGACAACCCGAGAATGCATTCTCTCAGTAAATCTATAAGGTTGAGCTCCCCAGAGAGATATCTCAGCAACTAGAGTCTTACAAAGGACAGAGCGATCTGACAGGCCACATAGCCTCGTTCGAGTATATCGTATGCTTACTAAGGATTATTGATGTTCTAAAATGTTGTCTCTTCTTGAACAAGCTAAGGGAGTCGGCCCTTCTGTGGTTCAATTGATTACTTTTTGGAGTAATCGCATCATTTGTTGATTTTGAACAAATGTTTGTAGCGCAGGTTGCCAGCTCCCAGAAGCACCAGAAAAACTCACAAGCCCTTTTGTTGATCTGTTGGGGGGACAACGTGAGATTTTTTGATAATTCATTACACGATTTCCAAAAGGAGATGTTGTAAGTGTGGGACTTGAGGCTCATGTTACCCTAGCTCAGAGGCCAAAGGAATGACCCTTTTGGTACGTGTTGGGTCCACATTGATGGAAGATATTAACTGAGTTGTTGGAGTTGGTCGACGACTACATATTGGAGGATGAGTATAACTCCAATCTCATTTTCTCCATAGTAGAGTCCTCCACGCGTCGCCCCCAGAAGATTGGGACATGATATGTGTCCCTCCACCCATGCTCAATATGAAGATGCTCAACCACCCAAGAACCACTAGGCTACCGATAGAACATAGCACCGAGGGAGTCGGGCTTGGTATTCTAACCATCGATTGACTTAATACAATGAGCATCGATTGCCTAACCATGAAGTACTCAAATCAACTTTATTGAGAGTTTTGATGGGTGAGATAGTGGAGTTTGTTTAGAACAGAGACTGTTTCAAGAGAGCACCACTGATGAAGATCAGAGCTTATCTTCAAGATTCAAAGAAGTATTGTGCCTACCATCGAGACTATAGGCATGACATGAAGGAATGTCAACACCTATGAGGCTTGATCAAAGAGTTGATAAAGCTGGGAATCTGAAGGAGTTTGTAGCACTAGGATCAACGACCTAGTGACATAGAAAGGTTCTAGTGGAGGAGATATTAGACGAGCCAATCTGAACCCTTGCAATCCACATCACTAACATAGTTTTTTTCCAACTTTAGGGTTGATGGAGAAACAACCTACCATGCCAATATGAAGAGGCTTCGGTCAGGAGAACCACATGCAGCCACCCTTATGTCCAAACAAAGTTCACATCTTCCAATTGCTTTCATTAACAAAGATTTGTCCATGTTGTGAAATATGTACTTCCTGGCATAGAAATGAAACGCAAAGAACACAAACAACCATAGATCGTTTACGTGGTTCAATCCAACTGGATCTACGTCCACAGGAGGGAATCAATCAAATAGTTCACTAAGACAAAATAAATGGAGAATACATAGCTTATACATAGAGATGAGCCTTCATCTTCCTTCTATGGTCTCCCTCTCAAGCGACACTTTAATACAATGCCTCAAGATACTCTCCTCCTATCTAGCTCTCTAGCTATTCTCTCATCCTTTGTGGTAGCTTAAGATCTCTTCTCTTGCTCTTTTAAGCCTCACACCCTCTCTATTTATAGAAGCAAGAGAGTGGTAGGTGGGAGGTAGGTGAGCGGTACCACATTACAAAAGTGCCCTCTTACCTTTGTTAAATAATTGGGGGTCAAAATAACAGTCCACCAAGAGTAACCCTTAAAATGATGCTAGCATCGTCACCAAGCTAATCAACAACTATCAGATCAATAGCATTCTCGTCGACATTAACAGCTTTGTGAACATCCCGTTCAAGTTAGTGTTCGATAAAATAGGTCTTGGCAATGACCGACTAACAGTTATGGTCGGCATAATCAATGGATTTTCTGGTGAGTGGAAGTGTTGGGAACCATCACTACCGATCACTTATGGATAAAAAAGACAAACAGTTCACCAACATGATAAACTTTCTAGTGGCTGACTTGCTACCCATTTACAACACTATATTGAATCTTCTCTTGCTTAAATCTTTAAAGTTTGTCACTTCTAACCATGCGGTTGTAAAATCTCCGAGTGATGGGGATGTAATCACAATTTGTAACAATCTTGAGTAGTCTTGCACCTATTATCTCTAACTGGTAAGAATCATCTAATACGAACCTTTTAAGCTTGACAACCTGCGGGAATGGGGTCTTGAGACCAATGAGACCACCCATTGGATCCCATTGACCGAAGGTGACATTGATAATTTTTTTTACAAAGGTTTTTGATGCAGAATAGAAGAAGGTGCTTGAAATCACTGAGACATTTTGCATGCTATGTGCCACAACTTGAATGTCAATCCAGTGACATGATGAATGAAGCACAAAACGAAAACACCTGTTATCACGTTGGGTGATTTGATCCGGTTGGAGGTCTAGAAGTTGTTGAAGGCCGACTACATCTAAGAAGTCTGGTATCTGATTTGGGTTTCACATGTCATTATGGTGCATAAGTAAAATGACAAAAAGAAAATGTGCACGAACTTCACTAATTTGAACATCACATGCATGGAGGGCAGCCACCCACTGTCACCGATTGATGTGTCGTGGACATGGTGGTCGAACATTATGTAATGAGATTCATTGATGCTTTCTCTGGATATCACTAAATCAATATGCATTCGACATATGCTGAGAAAATTGCATTCATCATTAATAGGGTCATAAATGAACCAATGGACTCGACGAACAACTAGAACTTGACTCAGTTAAGACTCGATCATGTTCGTACAAATTAGTAAACAAACACTCCCAGACAATTTCTAGATGCTTGGAGCTTAAATGAACTAAACATTAACATAATCAAACTTGTTCATTTATGTTCAACGACAAAATCACTATTGTTCACAAAGTAACTTGTTAAATGCTCCATATTATGCTCGATGCTAACTTGTACATATATATAAGTTATTTAATTATAGATTTAATAGTAATATATTATTGTATCCATAATATTTTAAAAATAATTATAAACTATATATTTATTTTATTAATATATAATTATTAATTCAATATTTATATATGAAAGTTTGGGTGTTAGAAGTGAAAATACATAAAATTTATGAGGTATGTATGAAATGCCCCATAAAATTAACTATAAACTCCCGCAAGCCTCACTTTTCCTCTTCTGAAAAGTGAAAACAAATAGTTTTCTGTCTTCTGATTTCACCCGAAGCATTCAAAACTTTGAGTTACTAAGGTGTTTAAGCATCAAAGACAACGACGAGATCGAGAGGTGCAAGAATCTCTGAAACTTTAGTCTCTCGTATATCTCCCCTTTTCACTTTGATGGTAAGTCATATCCAATTAATAATTGTTGTTGAGAATGTACATTGTAATCATTGTAAGTTATATATGACTAAGAAAAAGGATAACGCAGCCACTCAATATAATTTATATCTACAAAATTGTCAAAAAAGGTAGGGAAAATGACACGCATATTGATACGTAAAAATCAATATTTACATTTAAATGTGAGGTTTGGTGCAAACTTGGAAGCATGATCAAGCTAAATACGAGATAACATCACATATATAATGTTTTATGAGTTACAATTCAATTTTACAAAGTTTATAATCGATTAATTAATGGTGTGATCTAATTTGTAAAATTATTTATGGAACTTTTATGTAAAATCTGGACGCTCGTTTGAATTTTTAGCTCATTTAAATATTTGTTCACTTGTCATAAATAAATCAAGCACAAATCAAGTCCAAACATTGAAAATTCTAAATTAAAAAACATTGAACAATAAATGAAAGCTCAACACAAGCTCAAATCAAACAACAACAACTTATAATTATATTAAGCCAAGTCTGAAATATGATATAGTTGGCTCGACTTTGCTCAATTACAACCCTAATCATTAGTGTGGGAGTGGATTATTATAATGTAATGCCTTTTGTTTTTAAGGATGTTGGCGTTACTTACCAGCTAGTGATGGATATAATCTTTTTAAAAGAAAAGAGAAAAAAAGTTGAGGTGTATACGGATGTTGTCCTGGTCAAAAGTAAAACGCCAAAGAAACATGAGAAACAACTGACAATGATGCCAAGAGCATATGATCCGTCAAAAGCATAAGAAACACCCGATATCGACAAGCTCTGCGAGGGGTGCAGAACTCTAAGATTCCCCTTCGGGGCGACCAACTTTAAGACTCCCCTCCGAGTCGAACATCGTTAAAACTCCCCTCTGAGGAGAACAATTTGAAGACTAACGTCTGAGGAGAGCAACTTTAAACTCCTTTCCGGGGTGAGTAACTTTAAGACTCCCCTTCGGGGCAATAACTTCAAGGCTCTCCTCAAGGGCGAACAACTTCAAGATTCCCTTACGAGGCAAGCAACTTTAAGGCTCCCCTCCAAGGGGAGCAAGTTGAAGACTCCCCTCCGGAACGATCAACTTTAAGACTTTCTTCAGGGGCGAGCAACTTTAAGACTCCCCTTCGGGATGAACAACTCCTCCAACTTTTCCTCCAACGATCAGCTTCTCCTCTAAACGCCAAAACTCGACAATTTCCCCCCGACAGGAAAAACTCTAGAATGACAAACTTATCAGATGACGATGAAAATACCAAAACCAAACGCGAAAAGCGTCCAACAAGAGTTATCATAAATAAATTGTGTTCGAGATTTATTTTATTTATAAATTTTCTTGTCTTTATTCCAGTTGTTGCTATCAATGAATGAGAAAATTAGAGAGCTTATTATATGTACTTGAAAATGGCCTGCATGAATCGCGATGCAATGACGATATAAGTTCAAGGACTATAATGCCTTCGCTCTCTCTTCAATAAATATGAGGGATTCATGATGTAAAAGGGACCTTTAGGCTCCCCCTCTTTGTAACTCATTTCTTCAATAGAATAAAATGGGCCAGAGAGCCCAAAAACACCACATTTTCCCCCGCCGAGGGAAGCCTCTTTTCTTCTTTCCCTCTTTCACTCTCTTTTCCTCAGCTCAACACTATATTTCTTAGACACAGTCTATCAGACATATTTGAATTCAAGACTATAAATTTGAGAAATAATAAAAACAAATCCATCATTTGTTTTGTCAAGTTTGTTGTTGTGGACCTTCAGAATTATTTATGTGAGATTAGTGGTTTATCATTGAAATCTATACCTTGGTGCTATTTAGGTTTATCAATTAATTCTTTTAAATTCCAGGCTTCTAAATGCTATAAGTTGATAGATAAATTACAACTTCGGTTTGCTTGTTGGAAGTTTCATTTTTTATCTTTAGCGGGTGAATTTCAATAATTGAAACATACTAGTTGGAGTTGTATTTATTGTTGGTTTTGTACAATTAATATTCCTAAAGATTTGAGAAAAATGATTTGTTCTTTATGTAATAATTTTTTTTCATAATTTTTTAAACAATAATTCCTCTTCTAAGTTTCATACTATTTGTTGGCTTAATACTTCTAAGCATAAGATATATGTTAGTCATGGTTTGTATAAACTTGACACGGTTAATCCTATGCGCAAATATAAAATTATTTGTAGACTTTTTAATCTTCCTTCTCTTTGTGCTACTTGGTGTTTTAATCATTATGACTCTATATTGATTAAACATAGAACTAATTCTTCATCTTTTTGGAATATTCTGGTTAAAGTGGCTTCTAGAATTACATATGGTTTACATTTTCAAATTACTTCTCAAAGTTCTCATTTTTTTTTACCCTTGGCTAAATGATTTTTCTCTTTTTGAGAAGTTTGGTAATGAGGTTTTTAATTGGTTTAATATTCCTACTTTTGTTAAAGTAGGTGATGTTATTCTTAATGATAACTAGAATTTATTTTCCTCTTACGTTATTCCGAAAGCTTGTACAAGATCTATTAAGGAGATTCCTTTGATATTTAGTTTTATTAATCATCTTTGGAAGATTCATGATAAGTATGATGGTAAATTCAATTATGATCTAATATTTGATAATTGTTCTTTAGTTAATTGGTACATGTATGTTTCGTTTCAATGTTACTCCATTAGATTTGTTATCCTCGCTTTGATAATTCTACTTTATGGTATGAAAACTAGTGATGTATTGTCTGCTATAGGCATTAATATAAATCAGTTTTATGTTTTATGCTTCAATCATAACGAATCTTACAATAATTTATTTTTTGAATGTAACTTTGCTCATTCTTTATTAAAGAAATGTATTCCTTATGAGAAATTGTCTTTTGAGTGGAAATATGTTTCATATTCTCTCTTAAGTGGATTTTATTTAATCTATTATTATTCAAAGATTTCAGTTGCTAACAGTCTGTGTTACTTCTTATAACATTTTGTAGGAGATGAATGATAGAATTTTTAATAATTCCTACTCTTCGATGGATGCCTTGGTTTCAAAATTCATGAGATGATTAAATGGGAGAGTAGAAGATAGAAGCTTAAAGACAATATTCTTGTTTTTTATGAAAGATCTCTATAAACTTTGGTACTTCTCCAATTTTTCGGTTTCAGTTTTGTTTTTTTCTTTTTTTTTGATTTTTTTTTTGGGTTTTGTTTCATGTTGTATTGTTTTATTAATTTTTTTTTGTTAGTTTCTCTTTCATGGTATTTATTTTTATGTGGAGTTTTTTTCTTTTCTTTTGGATCTATTTTTTTCTTGGTTGGTGTTTGTTTTAGAGCTTCTTTGGATATTTTAATGATATTTTATTGATATTTCATATATTACATCAGTTACTCCTGTGTGGTTATTTTTGATAATAACTATGATGTACCCAAACCTTGCTATGAGACTTTGTCATCTTTAGAGATTTTATCTAGGTGTACTCACTTACTTTTACCTGGTTTCATTAAATTTGAACGAAAATTTTCAACCATTGAATGAAAATTTTAATTGGTTGTGGAGGTTTATTTGGGGTTATTTCATATATGCTGTCTGGTTTAAGTATCCTTATTTATTTTTTTACTGGAATACTATTTATTTATTTTTTTGTTAGAGTTTCTATGTATTTGGTTAGCTTTGGTTGAACTATAATTTTCTCATTCTATTATTGTCTTTCGGTTATCCTTTATGCAACCATTGTGTTTTTTTTTTATAATTGGATGATATTCATATGTCCGTTTATCTGCTCTCATTTTGGTTGATGATTGCTGCTTTGCTAGTTTCGGTTGCCTTGTTAGTTTTTAATTTCCTTACATTTATGCCAGTAGATTTTTGACTATTTTTATGTTTTTGTTCCTTGTAGTGTTTTTGTTGTTGTTCATTGTATCATTCTTTATTATGTTGCTGTGGATATTGTTTGTGGATTATTATGGCAGTTTTTGGTTCATTAAATTTGGATGAGTTTTTTTTTTCAATTGTTTAATGAATGCTTACCTTTTTTGATTAGTCTCTTTTGCATTGGCTTCAATTTTTCTTTCTTTTCTACTCTTTTTCTTCCTTCATAGAGGTTCTGTGATTGTCTGATTTTTATTTTGCCTCTCGAGCTTGTGTCACTTTGGTTTCTGATCCTAATGGTGCAAGTTCTAGTAGTGTTAATTGTTGTCGGTTCTTATACTTTTTGCTCTTCTTCAATTGTTGAAATATGTTATTGCTTTTCTAGTGTATCATGTGATTTTTTAGTTTTTTATGTTGTTTTGCTGATTGTTGCTGATCCTAGTGGAATTGTTCTTGGGGCCTTCCATGTTGGTGTTTGAAGAGTCCTGAGTCCTGTGCAGTTGGTAGATTCTTCTTGCTAATGGTACTTCACAGTTTGTTGCTGATCCAAGTGAGGCTTTTGTTGATGTTCCTAGTGCAGTTGTGGTTTTTGTTAGATATCTTTTGCTGCTGGTAGAGTCTTATTGTTGCTGGGAGAGTTTTATTGCAATTTGTGCTGTTGTGTTATTATTGTGTTCTTGTTGGCAGTTGTTTTATTTTTTGTGATTGTATTTTGTAGGTTAGTTTTTTTTTTTGTTCTGTTTTTGTCTTTGTTTGTATCAGTTGTAGCTTTTTTTTTAAATAAAAATGAGCATGACTCACATTTTCTCAAAAAAATGAAATCAATAAATGTGAATAGTATGTAAAGCTCTCTTTAATTTGTTAGTTAAGACAACATACATCAAATTTATTAAGAAAATAAAATTAATTAAATTTAAGTCATATTTGATAAAAATTTACTAAGAGCTGGGTATTACAAGGCCACTACGAAGAACTATCAAAGATTTTATGTGATGCACAATTTAGTGATATAATTTAATTATAACTTATTAGAAAAATATTTAAATATTTTCTAATTTTTGTCATCATCATTTTAATTTTCGGAGTTCATAAAAATTCTTTTTTTTTTTCACATATTCTGTAATATGAGTTGAATAGTTTTCCAGATAAAAAAAAAAAAAAATCAGTTCCCAGAAAATAATTAATTTTATGATTTCTATAAATTCTAGGATGTTTATCCTCTCCTTCTCTCTCTACATTTATAGTGATAAAGATCATTTCTACTTTTTAACGAGATATCAATCTGGCTTTTAAACGAAGGATCAGGGACTCATGGGGCCAGTGGGAGGAAGAAGATAACTTTCTCCATCGCATTTCTTCGAGGGGCTTTCCGGGAAGAAAAGTGTTCTGAGTTTACCGCCGTTCTCTATCGGGTAGACCATGTAGATGATAGTCTAATAGCTGGATCATTGCTAGACTTACTGCGCAGTCGATACTTTTCTTTTCTGTACCGAGGGAGTAGCTAAGAGCTAGGGTTTTCTGTGATTTGGGTTCCGCAACTATTTTCTCTCTTCGGATTTTTTCAACCTCCAGTTATCGTTTTAAATGTTCTTCTAGAATTGGGTCGCTGCGATTTTTTATGCCAGTAGCCCCAATCCTTCTTCCAGGGAAGACAACTGAAGGAGAGAGATAAAGCAAACAAAAGTGCTTTTCGTTCTTTTTCTCTGTTCTTGTTGGATTTAAAGAAATTTTTTTTTTTTTAATTTGTGTTTTTTAACCGATGTTCTTTCTCTGATGATAGCATCTGCTTGCGCTCGATCGAACCCCTCTCAATATCTATCCATTCATTGCATCAATTCTTTGTAGGCCATATTTTCACCTTATATTTTTGTATTAATTCACGAAAGCCTGTTGAGCTTTCGTTATCTTATACGAATAGAAGACTTTTGTGTATGGCGTTGGCCTTTACCAGTCTTTCATGTTGGCTGCGTGGGGCAAAAAAACATGAAAGCTGCAGCTCAGCTCTGCAGTCTTCTTCTGATCTTCCATCTGTGTTCCGGGAGTCCGATTCTGTGAAGTTTTTGTACATGAGTGGGACTACCAGAATGAGGTCGTCCTCAAGGAGAGTGAAGAGGAAGTGGCAGAGCAGGGAAGAAAGGAGATTACGGATTGATAGGGAATATGATATGGTAATTGTGCCGTCTGATGGAGGTTGTTTGTCTGGATCTGAGTCTGATGATTCAGATTGGTCGATTGGGTGGATGGAACCTCATGCTTCTGATTTTCAGAGCAATAACAGTGATGGAGAAAGCAGTTTTGCTGTTCTTGTTCCCTGCTATAACCATGGCCGATGTGAGAAGATCGGTAATCTCAAGAGTTATGTATTGGGAACTGACCGAGCTGCCAATCAACAAAATGCGTTTTCTTCTGGTGAGTGTTATTTAGTATTTGATGTTCCTTTTGCAGATTCCAAATCAGTTCTTGAGGTTTTATATTAATTTTTTTCTAAAATTGTTTTTTTGTAAAAAAAAAGAAATTGGATTAACATCTTCTGGTGCATACTTGAATAATAGCGATCGAGTAGCATGCAAATTGAAGGTGCTGTTGATGCTGCTTGTTGGAACCTCGTGCATTTTGTGTAATTTTGTAAATGCTGTTATTTGAAACTCATTGATAAGTTTAAAAAAAACTGTTTTTTGGATTTGAAGGAGCAAATTTTAAACTTTGGACCAAGTGGATCTCAAGTTAAAATATTTAGAAAGAAAAGATTTGTGTAAATTAAATCAAAACTAGAAAAAGTAATACGATTAAAAGATTTCATAAAATTTTATGGTTTTTATTAACATACTTAAAACATTGGCGGTATCAATTATTTATAAAATATTTGAATTACTTGAATGAAGGTTTTTTTTCCTTATTCTTTTGGTTAAGAGCTTGAATATTGATAATTTATTTTTATTTCCTTACCCTACTTTATCTAGCGATGTGTATAAAGCGTTAAGAAGATTGTTATGATGATGAATACTTTATCTAGCGATGTGAATATTTTCATTCCTGGCTTTTTTGGTGCATTGTTAGCAGGAGCTCCTTGGCTAATTTTCAGGTCTTACTCCATAGAGATCATTTCTTACATGCTTTTGATTATTTGGAAATTAGATGCAACTTTTGCCTAATTCCTGCCTGCATATGATTGATATAAATTGATTTGACTATCGTTGCAGTGAAGAAAAGAGAGAAGAAAAGAGAAGTTAGATGTTAAATGAACTTAGCTAGTATACACCACACAAAACACTCTTCTCCTGCATTTTTTGCTACAAACTATCAGGTCATTACGAGTTTTTTCGTCGAGAAATTTTTATTCATGCCACACACATAACATTGACATTTTTTATGTGATGATAAAGTTTTGAGTGTCATAAACCTAAATGTAAAAATTTAGGCATTGGATATTTATGTACATATATATACATACCTCTTTTTCTTTTCAATATTACTGCATCTATTAATTCATAACTGCACCTTTCTTGTGCAGAGAACGGTGAATACATTGAAAGGTGGCTTTCTACTCTTCAAAACTTTTGAAGTACGCAATCAGGGCTTAGCCTCTAACTTGTTTTAAAAGCTCAGTGTATTAATTTATGTGGCAGGAATAGATGGGAGAGAAATGGTTTTGCTTGATGAATGAGCATCTCTAATTATCCAGTGATTCAAAACAAAACAAAACATTTGCTGCAAGTTATTGAACCCATAGGAGTGAAGAAAGCAACAATTTATGAACTGTTGTACCTTTTATTTAAGTAAAGAAATTATTGAAAGATCATTACTTTCAATTATTCCCCCTCCTTTTATTTCTATGGTTGATCTTTGACACTTGTACTTAATCTTTTTTAATCAGGTTCTTGTGTGTAAGTCAGAATAAGTTTTAGTTTGCAAGCCTAGTTAGCACATATTTTTGTTACAAATGTTTCATTTTTATTCCTTTGAAAGATCAGGCTCGTCCACCAGTTCATGGTAGTAATTAAAGGGGCATTCACATATGTACCATCAACTTGCCATGTATTTGCATATATAATACCTAAATTTCATATTTTACATTTCTATCTCCTATATCTTTCTTATCACCTTAAAAATGCTACCTTTTTTATTTCTAATAATTGCAATATTTGTGGAATTCATGCACTTATCCCTTTAAGTATGTATGTTTTTGAAGTGGCGACGATTCCATTCTTCCCGATGATAATTGGAAACGTTGTATTTTTTGATTATTATATTTAATAAAGTGTAAATGTCGTCTTTAATGCGATCAGAAAGGGCCTGCCAGAGCGTTTACTGCAATGGTGATGTTTTACTTGAAAGGGCAGTTGTCATTATTATAGTTCCGTCCTCTTTGAGATTTTTTGCCTTGTGTTGAATTTTTCTCAGTCATTGGTGTGGCTTGAAGGCACTTTTTAAATATTAAATCAGTCTAATCCTTGAAATTTAAATTTTAAAGCACAAAAGAGTAGCAAGAGATATTGAAAAAAAAAAAAAAACTAAAACGAAGGGATATTACTTCATTGATTGTTTAGAAATTTTGGATGAATATAAATGAGGGGGAGAGATCTCTATTTATAATTTTCTCCTAAGTTTTTAGAATTTATTAGAGTATATTAGAAATGACTTATACATACATAGGTCTTTATATATATGTTTATATATATATGATACTAGACTATCCTCGAGTTCGATTTGAAGTTTTTTTCCTTCCAACATTTTTTATAATGTGATGGAACTTTTTATAGTCACTTGAATTATTCTCTCTCTAAAGTTTATTAGATTATTCTTTCTTGTGGCAAAATTGATGTGGCTCATATTTTCTTGACACTCCATCTAAGTTCGTAATGCCTTTATTGCGCCTTTTACCTGATACTATTGGTTCTTTCTATTTTCACGTGTTTTTATGTCTCATTTTTTTGTCTGCCCATTTATGCATTCTTCTTGCAGCCTTATGTAACGTGGCTCGAGCTAACTACCTTTATTTGTTCAAGAATTTTACAAACTTGAAGATTGTTGGGCTTTTTTTTTTTCATACTTGGTTGTATGGGAGAGGGTTGCCATGCAACAAGTTATCATGCCTAGCGGCTTAGTCCCTGGCTCCAACCTATTTAGATGGTTCATCTTCTTTCTTGGTGATATCTCCTTTGGTAACTTGCTTTTATACTCATTGATTACCGTTGCTACCTCTCTCGACATATCTTCTTGGGTTTTTGTTTCTTCATTATGAAGAATAGTTAAATAGCTTCTCTCTTCTTGTGGGATGCCCTTCGTGAATTGGATGACTGATCACATCCTAGCTTTTTGCTTGCTAGTCCTTATTGTTGGCGCTAAACAAGCTTGATTGCTTTCCATAATACATATGCTTATGTCGAAGGATATTGGAAATGCTCTAACTTGATCCAAGAAGTCTAGACCTAGAACAACTTTAAAATCATCTATTGGACTTATATAGAAGTTTAATGTACCTCACCAAGCTCCAATATTGGTCTTTACTCTGGCTATTTCATGAATTGGCCTTACCGCTGAATTAATTTTCTTGATGGAGCCTCCTCTTTCAGTTATTTGCAGTCCCAACCTTTTTGTTATCTCATTTAGAAGTTGCATTGACCCTACTTGTGCCACCATATTACTTCCTATTGCTTCTTCTTCTTCATGATGACTCGCTAGTAGAGCATTCATTGCTTTCTTTTGAGGAAATTCCCTTGCCGAATGAGGTCCTCCATAAAGGAAGCAGTTGTTATGCGGCTTAGTTTCATTGGTATTAAGCTTCCCTTTGTCTTTGCCCTTGGATGAGGTCGATTCATGGCATGTTTTCTTATTGTGTTGGTCTTTGTTATCCCCACTTTTATCATAAGCACTCTTCTTATCTTTAGAATTTTTGGACTCTTTTAAATATTTAATTAAGTTTTCGGAGACCGCAATAGTAATAGCAAGATCTTGCACTTGCGCCTCCTAAGCTCTATCTTACACCCACGGGCTCTAGTCCATATGCATTGACTTTTGGGTTCGAAGCAGTTCTTCCCTTGGAAGTTGAATTACCTTCATTGTGATTTGCTATAAGCAACACTATAAACAACAAGACAAACATCCGACTACAATTGGAAGAGTTGGATAACTTTGACGGGTTGAGGTTACAAGCCCGACAAAGTCTCATACTATACCGTGCTCGAATGACTTGAGCCCGTGATGAACTTGTGAGACCCCATACTTTTGCGATTGGAGACATGGTATTAGTTTTGCCTCGTCCCATAGTGACTCACCGCCGTACACATGGAAAATTTGAACCCAGCTGAGAGGGTCCGTTCATGGTCGAGAAGGTTTACGAAGGAGGAGCCTACATGCTAGTGGACATAGATGGAGTTCACCTCATGCCCCAAATCAACAAGGGAATATTTGAAGATGTATTATGCTTAGGCATAACTGGTACTCAATATGACGGAAAACCAACGGTCACATGATGGGCTATCAGAAAACTAGCAACCTAAATTTCTCTAATTATGAAACCAACAAATTTAATTGAGAGCATCCAATGATTTTTTAATTTTGGAAAGAAATGATGAATTGTGACCATCAATTATGTAATCAACTATTAACAAATGACTAATCAAAAATTATTTTTTCGACATAAATCAACGAACTTGACCCATGAGATATATAACTAATGAATATTCAACCGCTAACCGATGATTTTGCTTTCAACATAAATCCATGAGTATAGTCATTGGTAAGTTCTCAGATGATAAAATTTTTTGGAAATGCCATCATTCCTTAGATTATTAACAAGAATAAAAGCTATTTCCTTTTTGCTGTTGAAAAATTATTAGTTTATTTTTAACTGAAGGGTTTTTTTTACTCAACAGTCACTTTAGATAATTAGAAATAGCCTGAATTCATGTAGTGACTATAATTTAGATATTTTTGTTCCCAACCAAGAGGCTCTAGACATTAATAAAGATTTATCTTGAATGTAAATCATTTTATTAGAATTTTAAGGATTATATTAGCGGTGAAGGTGACATTGATAACCACAAGTTCCCTTAGATCCATAAGGCAAATAATTCCTTTAGTTCACTCAAGCTAGCTATCATTATTCATGGTTTTTTTTTTTCTTTTAATGTTTCCACCATGAAAAGCCTTGAGTTTATATAATGTAATGGCATCAAATTTGTTCTAGCAAAATAATGACAATATCTCTCTATTTTTTCACATCTTTATTGAAATTCTTAAAAATAAAGTCAATGTAGTTTCTGTAAGAAATTATCATAACAAATATTATTTTTAAAAGAAGAGTTTGTATAGTCACTTCTAATAAGAACCCTAAATTTTACTTCTTATTTTCAAAAAACTTGATCATCTTTCCTTTTATCTTAGTAGAAAAATTATAAAATTTGGCATTATTTTTTTTTCTCAATCACTATTACAAGAATGCTAACCCAACTAAGATCTTTAATTTTGAAGAGAAACAACTTATTTGAGATTCTATAATGTAGCTCAACTAATGCTCCAATTATGAAGGCTTATATGTTTTACTCTAATTTGTAGACTTGCTTGTTCTCATCTTAAGGCGCTGCAACAAATACTAGTTTCTTCATCTTTCTTTTTCATATCTCAGTGGGTAAATTATTGAAGATTATGTTCAAATTGATTGTAAAAATAACTTGACATTAGTGATGAATATGTGACTTTTATGAAGTTAAATAGTACTTAGTCAGATTCAATATTATAAAGAGACATCTAATTACAAAAAAATATTATAGAAATTGAAGCCTCAATATAATCCACTTTGCCATCCAACTTCATTGTATTCATGGCTCCATCAAAGATAAGTATACCAATCATCACCTTTATTTTGAATAGTTGATATCTTTTGCAAAAAGAATGCTCTTCATCTTTATCTTTCGAATCTTTCTCTTTCCTACGTAAAATTTCATCGAGTTCTCATGTTCATGACATTAAGTTCTCCTTTTGGGATTGATCTTTTTTATACATGGTCCTGTTCCACATCTGTATTTTGATTTATTTTCTTAGAGTTTTTATTGTGATAGATATATGCCTTTCGAGCAATATATCTTATATATACATGATGTCGTTGGAGCTTTTTTATTATTTGGTTATCATCATGATTTTCCCTTATCTTCTTGAGGTTTCTTTTAGGGATAAGAGTACTTCTCCCATATTCATTTTGTTAGTGTTTATCAACTTTTTGTATCGTTGACTATCTTTGAATCCACCTCTATGATAACAAAAATATAATCCATAAGCCATTACAAAAATAAGATTGCACAGATTAAATAAAGGTAACATGGAGAACGAAATTAATCTTGTAGTTTTATTAATAAAGAAAAGCTAGATACATATATGACAAATAAGAAATACTAAATTTGAAGACTAAAGGTGAGCTTTTGTGCATTTGATGACATCTCTAAATATGAAGACTGAATACTAGCTTTTTACATATAATAAGGAAACTTCTTTCTCAT